AAGCGGCCACAAGGCTCCCCAGGCAGAGGGCATGGGCTGGCCGGCCAGATTCTGGGTGACTTCAGATTTGACAGAAAACTCACTCGACTTGCTAATGAAAGGAAGTCAATTTGTTTTCTGCCAGCGATATCAGCATCGGGGATTAGACAAGAGAAGGGGGAGCTCATAGCTCAGCCCAGCAGGAGGGAGTCGGGATGCGCAGGGCACCGGAGATGCCCAGGATCTCCTCACCCAGGACAGTGTAGCAGACGGTGCTGAGCTCTTGCAACCTCCACCTCACAGCATCCACAGGAGCTGTGGGCCCTGGCTGCCTCCCACCGTGCTCCACAAGGGTTACTGCACCCAGAATCCCTCACAAAGCCAACAGCACAGCCTGCATCTGTACACTAACAAGTAGAAAAGACCCAAATCCATCTCCCTGCACTCTGCTTTCAGCATAACCTGAGAGCAGAGCAGAAGAGTGGGACTACTTGACCTTTAAAGGTCCCTTTCCAAACCAAACGATTCTAGATTCTATGATAGGCTACTGAGGGCAAGTCACAAAGCACAGCTGGGGAGAAAACAGGGAGGAAAGAGGGTTTGAGACAGTTTTCTAGCTCGCTAGTGCGGCTCTGACTGAGGGAGATCTCACGCAGCCCTGCTGCAGGCTGGCCAGCCCCACCAAGCCGAGCACCAGGAGGAGTCTGGAGCCCCTCGTCCCATCTCTCTCCCTGTCCACATCGATTCTGTAGCTCTTTGTTCTGCCCGACCAGCTTCCAGGCACACCGGTGACAGCTCCATGTACAAATTACCCTGTGTCCTCCCACAGCTATCCCTGCATTAAGCCCTGGGGAGGGTTTCCCCATGCATGCGCACCCTGCCTGTTTTCTGTTTGGCTCAGGCTGGACATCCCCAGGCAGCTGCCCAGGCACGGCCAGCACTGTGATTTAGCTGACATAACAGGACAGCAGCTGCTCCTGGCCAGCAAACCTCCCACGGACACCAGCTCCTCTCTGGGAGTATGCAATGCAGCCAGGGATAACCGCTCTGAGGAGCTCCTCCAGCCCCTGATCCCCTTACAGAACCTGGCAGAGAGGATGCTTCGGGCAGAGCTGGGAGCTCTCGATGCAGCACCCACTTGCCTCCTCTGGTGCACATTTCCTAGGGCTCCAAGCGTGTGGTGCCTTCACTGCCCAGGCGTTTGCTGCAGCTCAGCACCTTCTGCTAAGGTTATTCAGAGCTCAGGCACTTGCTTTTCATGTATGAGCCCTAACTATGAGCCAGGGGAGATGGATGCACAAGGATCTGGCTCTCCTCTCGGGGTGTGGGGTCCCTAACCCTTCCCTCTGCCAGCAGACAGAGAGGGAAGCAGACTCTGCCTGGCAAAGCAAGAGCAGGTGAGCAAGAGTCAACTCCAGGGAGCAGAGATCCTCCTTTCCTGCCTGCACTCACCTCACCTGCCAATCCTCTTTGACAAATACCTGCCAGCAGTGTTTGTTCGCTCCCCACTGCATTCTTAATATCAGGCAGAAAAATTCCTCTTAAATCCTTAATGTCTCATACTGATCCAGAAGGCTAGGATCCTGCCTGCGTTCAGTCTGGCCAAGCTCTCAAGCTCTGCTTTCACAAGCAAATCTCATCCTGACTCAGGACAACTGAACCTTTTGTTTCCAAATGGTTGCAACTGCTGCAGGTTTGCAGAGAGCAGCAGGGCAGCACAGCAGATACTCACTCTGTGTCGGCACAGGCTCCCCACTAGCATTCTGGCTCTGGTTGGTGAGGCTGAGGCTCTTCAGGTTTATCTTCCACTTCGGAGACTGCGTTTTGTTGTCTTTCAGGTGTAATGGGATCAGTAGATTGACCTAAAAAAACCATACGCACAAGTCAGAACAGTTTTATCTCAGCTCATTTTCAACATTTACTCAGGGGAGCCGATTGGCCAAGACGCCAGCCGCTCCCCTGTGACCAGAGCTGGGGCTGAACTTGCCCAGAGACCTCAAGGAATAGGATATACCCGAGGCTGGCAACGCCAGGAACAATTGTGGTTTCTCACACCCATGCTAACAAGTTTATTCTGCAGATAAACGCAAAGGAAGAGCCCAGAGAGGCTCTGTTCCCACACACCAATTCCTCCTATTGCTCTGTGCTCAGAAAGCTTGCAGTTTTCTACCCTTGCGCCAATGCTGTGGCACAAGGACCAGGGCCACGACCTTTGCAGGGTGCCCAAAGCCCGCGAGCAGCAGCACAGCCCGTTCTGTTTTTTTTTTGTTGCTGGAGCCGGGTGCCAGCCGGGCTGCCGGCGTGGTTCATGCCGGGGTCTCTGCAGCTGCAGCCTGGACAGGAGCTCACCTTGCTCTGTAGGCTTTTAATTTGCAGATTCTGCTTGTCCAGCTTGTACTGCTGCTGCTTGATCTTCTGTAAGAGCTCCTCAATTCGCAAGTTCTGTGCGTCCATCAGGGACTGCAGGAAAGAACCAGATGAAGCCCGCAGCTCTGGGCAGGTCCGGCTGC